AAGGCACGTGCCCGGGTTGTGGGCTCGATCCCCAGCCGGGGGCATGCAGGAGGCAGCCCCCGATCAATGGCGACTCTCATCATTGATGTTTCTATCTCTCTCTCCCTCTCCCTTCCTCTCTCTGAAAATAAAGATATATTTTAAAAAAAAACAACTACTTTAAAAAACAAAAACACTTACTGTTCAAGAACTCAGAAGAAACAGAACAAATGCCCCAAAGGTGCTGAAGCCATTAAATCTCACCAAGGCGGAGGGTGTGAAAAGCAGTGACAGGCACAGCCTTTCCAGTGTGGACCCTCAGGTCCCACAGTCACGAGACTCGGGCCCTCACCTGACAAACACGGGGACGTTCCCACCCAGGCCAACACAGCTGATTGCGCTGTAACATAAGAAGTAATTCCCCCCCAAACATTTTGGAAACCAGTGGATCTGTTGTGTTTTCTTACCTTTCATCCATTCTAGGTACCGTTACCTCTCTCCTTGCTTTTCAGAAGCCAATACATTTCCAGAAATGTTTCCTGATTCCTGACTCTGCAGGGTCCTTACACTGACGGGGCCTTTGAGACCTGCTCCCTCTGAAAGGACACAGAGATCAAGTCCTCACACACAGTCCAAAGCACAAGGACACCGAGTGTGGAGTGCAGAGCCGGCCCAGGAGCCAGACGTGGTCTCGGGCCACGTTTCTACACGAGGGAGTGTCACTCGTGTCAGTATTTGCCTCAATTCTCTAAAGAGCGTCTGAGTGCTACTCCCTGGTTGCACCTCAGTTGGCTCCTAGTAAGTGTTCCTTGAATGATTCCTAGTAACTGCAGAGAATTACACACATGCCTCTGCCTTCGTGACCACGGGTGGGTCCAGTTGGCACTGGCTCTCCATCTTAGATACCAAGGCCAGCTCTAAAGGACACACCTGTGTTCACTGTTGCTGAGATTCCCACCCACTTGAGCCAGTGCCTCTGCAAAGAGGCTCCACCGCCAAGTGGCCACTGACATCCCCCACTCCCCTTCACTTGCTTCCACGACCCCAAATATACACTGGCAAAGAAATCATGGATCCCAAGAAAATATTTTTCATCTGCAAAGATGCGTGTTCACTAAGAGACTCAGGGGTCTTGTGACTTGAACACAGCGCAGTAACACCTAGGGTAGGTTCTAATTTTATTAGCGCTGTCCCCGGTAAGAACACTAAGATTCTTTCCACCCGTGAACCCTGCTGGTCCCCAGCCTACCTGAAGCACCGACACGGAGTAGGTGCCAACTCTCTTACCTCAGAGGATTTGTGACCAAGTCTGAGCCCTCCCCACATGTCCTAAAGCACCTCCCGTTTTCTCCTCTGGCCCAAACAATGGACCTGCCTTCCCAGGTCAAACCTGCCACTCGAAGGCAGTGTGTCCCCTCTAGACTTAGAACAGCACTGTGCAGAGAAAATGCCCTAGGATGCTACAGGCGGTGATACCATCAGCCCTCCTGCTGTGAGGCCTCTAGAAATGCTAGATAAAAGGTGACAAATACCTTCTCAAATATAGAACCTGGTTTACAAGAAAGTTAGAGCAATCACCAGTTGGCTACAAGAAAAGAAAAAGCCAGCATACTCCGAACCAGTTAGAGCTGCCTGGGAGCCAGCCGACAGGTTCCTGCTCTAAATGCTCAGGAAACAGGAGTCAAGTCCTTGGGCTCAATGAAGGACACAGGGGGAAGCTGGGCCCAGGAAGGCGGCAGCCAGAGTGAAAGGACAGACTAGGAAAACACTTCCCACTGTCGGAAACACAGCAGGGACATGTGTTTCTCTCTGCCACAGCTCAAGGGGGCAGGTGGGGTGGAGGCCCCCAGGAACGTGTCACCACAGGCCAGCCCTCAGCTGGGTGCAGATGAGAGACACTCCCATCAACAAACTGTCAGGACTTCTGACGCCAGGCTGCCAGGCAGAACTGGTGCAGAACCTGCCCTCTGCCCTAAACAGCTGGAAGGCTGCACAAAAAGTGAGACATGCGTGTTTTCAGAGGACAACAGATAGGACAAGGCTGAGATGCCTGGACAAGAGGACACAAATAAGGGTGGTCCTGTAAGCCCTGGCCCCCCTCCCAAGACAGCACTCTGAACCTCAGCACATCAGAGCAGAGAAGCCAACCAGCAACTTCAGGAAGCGGTCAAGATTAACACCGTGATGTGGCAGGAAAAGAGGCACCCGGCTCTGTGATCTCCCCAAAACACACAGCCCGGGCAAACCACAAGGAAGCACAGGGCAAACCCAGAGTGAGCAGCATTCTATATAATCCCCTGGCCCACACCTTCCACACCATCCAGATCACAAAGAACAAGAAATTGAGAATGTGTCACAGTTAGTGACAGCAACGGTGGCAGGAATGAGACGGGAGAGAGGCTTCTCTGTTTATCTTTTTACGGAGCTATGACTCTTAGAACCACAAGGTTTCCCCCAAAATAAGCCATTAAAACCAAACCGAGACATGGAGCGAACCCCAAATGGAACATGACAAATGCGTACCATCACCAGGAAGGGCTGGGAAAAGAGGGCCTACCTAAGCCTCTGGAGGAGGCACTTGGCCCATACTTAAAGAGCTGGGGAGCAGAAGGGAACATGCATAGTGTAGTGCTGTTCATCAATGCCTCTCTCCTGGGGTAAGGTTGAACACGACGCAACTGCTTTTATGAGTATACTGGATTTTTAAAAATAAGTAGAAAGGCTGTAGGTAATAGGAGCCAGGTTTTCCACTGTTAGAGAAAGATGTCACAAATAAGGAGAAACTGAAACGAATCCTGCGGCATTAGGTTAGGAACAGAAGTATATGTATAAACTCATGTTTTTTAATTACATACATACACAGGCAAATACACAGATATGTGTACTCACTCATATACATAATTTCCTAGCTCTAGCCTCTGAAGGGCCTAGAAGCAATGACAGCCCAACAAACAGCAGCACACACACCTACATGAGAAGAGGTTGGTGCTTAACCACCTGTCTCCAATAAGCAGAACCTGGGCTTAGAGAAGGTGGTTGATGAGTCCAAGGCTGGAGCATGAAAGGATAAGCCTGTAACATTCTATGGTATCAGAATGGAAGTATTCAGAAAAGGGTGGGGTTTTGTCGAAAGAATTCAGGAGCCAACTCACAGGAGTACCTAATGGTCAAAAGTAGAACAATCTGACCAAACAAAACAATAGTGGATTTTAACCTATAGTATAAAACAAATATCCAAGTCCATACTGTTATAAATAATGAAATAAGCTAGTAAAAGGCCGGGGAAGCACAGCCTTTCATTACAGAAGAATTCTGAGAAGCAGATGTAGAGGAAAGGGCAAAACAGAAAATCAAGGTCAGGCGAACAGCACAGGACTAACTTACAGACCAGATCCACCGATTAGTGCAAAAATGAGCAGGGTTATGTTTCAGGCCAAAGAGAGTATCTATCTGATCTCAAAGTACCTCCCTAAGATACTAACTACAAAAAAGGAAAACTGTACCATTACAGTGGAGAAACCGGCGGGCACCACCCTGCGCAAGCAATGGAGGGAAAGTGTGAAAATGAGCCACACAGATGCCAGAATGCGTCCTGGACACGAGCCTCTCAACAGGATACACCTCTAGCCTAAAGCGCAAAGCCTCGCTCTGCAGACCCACAATGAGGAACAGCCCACAAAACGGCTGACCAGTGCTCTTTAAAATGTCCAGGTCGTGGGAGAGCAGGAAGAAGGAAGTGCAGCCAGAGGCTGGTGGAGGCCAAGGAGCAGGGGGCCTGGGGCAGGGCCTGGCCCAGGAAAGGATAGAGGGACTGCTCAGTCTCCCAGTGCGACGGGAACCTCGCCGTGGGAAATGGACTGCAGTCGTACAAGATGCTGGGATAGTAGGAAAAGCTAGTGAGAGGCAGGTGTGTGGGGTCTCTGAGCTGATTTTGCAGCTTTTCTCAGGTCTAAATCACAGGTTTAGTCTGTTCTGTTTTACAGTGGTTTACAGAGACCACAGCAGAGCAGCTTCGGGTGAAATGTGAATCCGAGAGAAGAGCTACCACATGGAAACGTCAGCAACACCGTCTGCTTCTCCTGCCATCTCCTCCTAGAGGAAACATCCATCTATTTCCGAGAAGTGACCAACTGCATGAACAGCAGGCCCAAGGCGAGGCTCAGAACACGGAGAATTCGTTCACGACCGTGCTCTAACATCCACGTCTGAGGACCACACAGCCACCACGCACTCCTGCCAGCACAGGACATCGCCCACAGCAGCTGGGGACGCAGCTCCTCCAAGCACTCTAATTGGACTCATGCTTTGGTTTGGAGTTTTGTGGGAACGAGCTGAGAGAAAAACAGTTTTTAACTAAAAATGTATGCACAGTTTACCAGAATTTACCAAAGAACCTATCTCCAGCATTTACCATTAGTGCGTGGGGATTTGGGCTTGCCCGATTATTAAAACACATCTTCATGAAACTTTTACAGCTGTGCTGTTCCAGTTACAAACAGCTTCCACTTTTCTAGGACATAATTTCACTTTGTTTAAGCAAGAATTCATTAAAGCAGCTATAAATAGCCTTCAAATATCCAGCCATGAATGGGGGTGTACTGGCATTGATGGCTTATTTTAGGACCAATGCAGACTGCTTTTTAAAAGCTACATGTTAGCATCAAGCTAAGGATTAGCAGTTGCGATGTAATTTTCTGTGTTAGAATAAATTTCTGTATTTTAAGGAGTTTTGCCAAATGTAAATATGATATTTCAAATATTAACAAGGAAGTAGCCTTAGACAATGAAAGTGTTGGAAAGATTAGAACATAAAATCTATTTGAAAATTTTCTTTTAAGCATGAAGACAACCTTTCTTTCTCTCCCAACCACCACACCAGGTAACACCGCGCATGGCAGGAACAGCGGCCCGTGGCACTACGAGGATGCAGGGACGCACTGCACGGTGCGGGCACAGTGTGTGCAGCACACATATAAGCCAGGCATTTCCACACTCAATTCTGAATCATAAAGTTCGCAACATTTTCAAGACCAAGTTTCATAAAATTTTTACTTGAAAAAAAGAAAAGTTTTACAAAATTCCATTCTTTCAACAAAGAAACTTTCCCACAGGCTACATGGGGCTTCCTGCCGTCAAGGTGACACAGCGGCAGTCACAGGGAGGGTTTTAAATAGCCACCTAGCTGCAAAACCTACAAGAAGTAGATTTTTTTAAAGTGCCTTTCAAATGCTAAAGCAAGTGATATAATTGTTGAATCTATCTGAAATCTTAAAAGTTTCTTTAAAATGGTCCATATGGTATGCACATCACAGCTGGTTCAAAACTGCCTGTATTTAGTTAGAAACACAAAAACAATGCACAAAAACAGTATTCTTTGAAAAATAATTTGAAAGCTGCCGCTGCATCATAAGGCAACTTAGACCAGGGTGTTGACAGAGAATTAACAAACAAGCTGACTATTAAAGTACTCAAACGCTGACTTTGAAAACTCTTGGATATCACTGATAGGAATTCGAGAACTTGCTTCCAAATTAACTCAGGACACCTTATTCCAAACTATGCAGAACGTATTTGCAATATATGTTCTAAATGAATGCAAAACTAGGTTTTAGGATACCAATTCCCACTTCCAGACAGGGCCTAGTTTTTCTGCTGCAGTCTGGCAGCTTTGAACTTGGAAACCCTCTTGGTAACCTCTGACGCTTCTGAGGGGACTTCTCTCCGCTCAGGGATTGTGGGCAGCACAGGATGGGCCGCAGCCGGGTTGGGGGTTAAGCAGGGTGATGACAATTCCTTTTCTATTACAGTTCCAGAAAAAGCCTGCAAGACAAAAATCAGAGGATGGTAATAAAACACAAGTAAGATGCCCACAAAATCCTTTATCCTGTATTTGTCAATTACACATTTCTTTTCATTAAAAGTAAACTCACAAGATTTTGGGGCAAAAAAACAAAACATCAAAATACAAATTGTGTAGAGAAATCAAATACCATTAAAATATCTTAATCACACCACCAAATATAAGTCCATGAAAACAAAAGGTAAAATAAATACCTTTTATTTGCCCATTTTTGGTAAATAAAAGCCAGACATTTAAGCCATTATTTACCAAAAATGGGTAAATAAAAGGTCCTCAACTTTCACACATTTATGTCCAGCTCATGCTGTGAAAAATAAGGTATTAAAATAAAAAATGCTACTTGGTGTCAGATACCAGCTGATGGAAGTGCTGTGCCGAGGGGCCACGGGCCTGCAGCCCACACGCGGTCCAGACAGCAGTGGTGCCTCTCCTGTGGTGTCCGGCTCTGCAGTTATACGAGCAGCTCACTGCATCTTGCCTCAGCTTTATTTAAGAGTGGAACCTGAGCCCAGCCAGTGTGGCTCAGGGTTAGAGTGCCAGCCGCCGCCCCCGCCCAAGGGCCTTGGGTTCAATTCCCCATCAGGGCACATACCTGGGTTGCAGGTTAGATCCGCGGCCTTGGTCAGGGCAAGTGTGGGAGGCAACCAATCGATGTGTCTCCCCCCCCATAAATCAATGGAAAAAATATCCCCATTCCCTGGGTGAGGAGTAAAGGAAAGAGTGGAAACTGGAAAACAACCACGCGGATGCCAGTGGAGAGGAGCACTGGCCTCGAAACCTAACTCCATTAGCTCAGTGACGGAAACCAAATGCTCCACAATGACTCAGGCCCCTAGGTGTTTGCTGGATCACTGGCCAACTGCGTGTTCCACTGATACACAAGTCATGAGTGCACAGTGTGCAAAGTGCTGGGAATATAACCAAGATTCACCTTTACATATCCTTTTACATAAAGATCTATAAAAATCAAATTGTTATGTTTTAAAAAGATTTCTCATATTGGAATCTCCTCTTACATCTTCTAAGAACTCATTATGTACAAACTAAAATCTGACATGTAGACTCTCACGAACACCGTGTATCACACTACAAAATTAGTTAAGACAATGTATCACTTGAATTGTGGGCTTTTTTATAAATTATTAGTTATCAAAAAAAGTACAAGCCTAGAATTCATTAGGTCCTATGACTTCGGAGAATAAATGTATGTGTAAAGTAAAGGTACAAGATAAACAGTGCCATTACCCAGTTGTTCAACTGCAATAAATAAATATATAAAATAAAATAGTTTAAAGACAAGAACATTAACAATTTATAAACTACACCTGGGACGTGTAACAGCTGCACTTTTAACACAAGGAGAGGAAGGTCTCTTAAAGAAATATCTTTTCAATACCCACAGGAGCCACGTGGAATAGGGACAAGGAACCGTGTGCCCTCCGAAGAGAGGCCACCACTTCTTCACGAGACTTGGTCAAGGACACAGAACGACAGGGTCGGAGTGCACACACCTCAGGCACTCCCGACACAGGCGAAGGTGCCTCCTGATGCTGCTCCTGTTCCTCTTCCAAAATGCTCTCACTGGCATCGCTGCAAGTGGCCTCCTCGCAGCTGACGCTCCTCAGGAGCCCGCGGCGCTCGTCAAAGTCAGCAGCGCTGCTCTCGCTAGTGTCGCTACAGACGCTGTCCTCCCGGCTGCGAGACTTCAGGATCGACTTCCGGGGCACGTACTCCCCATTCACGAGGTCCACGAAGACCCTGCAGGTCACAGAGCACACCCTCTTCAGGAGCACACACGGAGACGTTTACCAGCATTTCTGAAACCTTTTCCAGAAATTAACCTGAAATGTTTTACTCAAACATGTATCTAAAATTTTCACAAAGTAATTTTGAAGCCTCAAATGACATTTCATATCGTTTTGAAAAATATAATGTGGGGGCCTAATAAAACAAAGCACTATTTATGAACATGTTCTGGGTGACAATAGCTTGATTTGCCAAAATTCTACCTATAATTTAAACCTACTTACAAGACAGTTAACAGTTTTTGCAATTTCCACAAACATGGATCATGAAAACAGTCAGGAAGTTCCAGTGACCCAGTCTCAACAAAAGCTGGAGCAGCACTCTCCTTGGGCCCCGTGAAGAGGAGCCTCCACTCAGTGCTACCCAGCCCACCAGAAACACATACCAAAGTTAACATACAACATTTTTTTAGTAGATCAATTGGGAATGTTTTAAAAGCACTGACCAAGAGGGGGAAAGGAGGAAAGTGAGGGACACTCCAAGGCTCTGGACCGGGAGCCATGGTGGCCAGTTGGCTGCTAGGGGACACCTCAGTGGCCACGACAGCCTACGGGACCAACACCCTGCAAACACTCAGCTGCTGTGCTGAGGGCCCACCCACCTGTAGATGTCTGCAGGGGTCCTGATTGTAGGCAGCTCCGGGGCTGGGTGGCCACCGCCACAGCTGTTCCTTCGCTTCCGTTTGGCTTCTTCCTTCTTTTCACTGAATTTTAAAGTGGTATTTTTTCCAGTATTTATTCGAACCTAAAAAGTTCACAGCAAAAAATGACAATCATTTTGAGAAATCAAAATGAAAACCAACGCACTCAGAAATGAAGGCACTAGGAGACAGGCCATCTATGATCTTGCCACGGAAACGACATAGTGTCAGACAGGGTAAAACATCCTTCCCTAACCTCCACAGACTCGACAACATCGAGTTATACCTCAATGACGACTGACTCGCCTTCAGTGACTTTTCATACAGAAAGCAAAAGACAGAGACCCTTGAACAACATAGGTCTGAACTGCACAGGTCCACTCATCCGCGATATTTTCAATAACTACACTGGAAACCTTTGGAGATGGCCTCACGAGAGGGAGGCGGTCGTATGGACCACACACACCTGGCGTAAAGCAGTCGGGCTGCCACCGCGCCATCAATGCGTGAACGGCACACCTGGACATGAGCAGAACTTCTCCTCCACATATCCTGATGACCGATGTCCAGGGCTAGTGACGCGTAACGTCTGCAGTGTTACGTCATGTAAGACAGTACTGATACAGGTGCTGACACGAGTCACCTGGTAAACAGAGGACCTGAACTTGCAGTATCGATAAATTCGATAGTCCTAGTAAATATGTTTTCTGTTAATAGCTAAGTTTGGAGAGTGAGAAGTCACATACACACTAATACCTGCATCGTTAGATCAATTGTACACTGAACTACATGCTGTATTATTTACTATAAGCTGTCACATGACCCCACTTGACATAAATTTTTGGTTTACATCATCCATTTCAAAACAAAGAGAACAACTATAACAATATGAAATTTAAGTCATAAAAGCAATATTAGAGAATGCTTAAATATTTAAAAATTTTTTAACACCTCTAATTTTTAGAAATCGAACTGAAAAGTGAAACCAACCCTGTTCAGGCTGTGTGTTCCTCTGGTATCCCTACTCAGCATTTATACTGTGCGGCCCTATGAGTGACTGGTCTTCCCCTAACATTCCTGCAAATATCATTTATCCCTCCTGCTTCATCTAACTGAAAGTATGAAAATATTTAAAGCCCGAAGAATCACAAAATTCACTATGTGCTCCCTTTAGTTTGAAGTATTAGAACATTAAAAAAAACACAGATTAACTATTTCACTTCACATTAGAGCAGGGATAACTTAAGGGACCTGAGCAATATCAAATATGTTTTAAACATGTTTCATTAAATAATCATCACAGGCACTTAGGACTGAATAGGCAGTTCCTGCAGTGATACCGTGTGGGGAAGGAGCACCAAACAGAGACAAAGGAGTCCCTGTTCTACCACGAACCAGCCCCGTGGTCTCCGGGGCCTCCAGTGTCCTTGAGAAAGACAATTAGAAAGATGAGTCCTGGGAGCTCCTGAGCAAAGGGTATGGAGCTGGCAGAGGGCAGGGAATGGGTTCAGGTGGCCTGGCCTGTCTTCACCCTGGGCCAACCAGTTTCCATTCAGTCTAAATACCCTCCATGGGAGGAAAAAATGTCTTTGGATACTTAAAGAGAAGCTTAAAACCCTATGCTAGAAGATGTCTACAGTAACCCCGGCTCTAAAATGCCAAGGTTCTGAAGTCATGATCACCCACAGATGTTTATATTTACTTTATCAGAAATGAGGCTAATTTTTACTTCCTCCTAAGTTTTTCCTCCTTGTTCATGATGTTCCTATTCATTTTATGCCCACACAGAAACAACCACCTGGTATAATTAAAAATTTAACTAATGCAGTCACTTTCAAACATCCTCAAAACACCAAGACGCCAACAATATAATTAACTCTAGAATTCCTAAGGAAACTCTGAGTGAGGGACAGGTGGAGCCACAGCAGTTGCCGCTCAAATCTAACCCCTTCCAGACCCCGAACAATCCAATTCCATTGCAGCTTCAGAGAACGACAGCCCAATACCAGCTAACTATTTAGGCAGTTTCTTCCTTTTTCTTTTTTGATAAATTGGTCAGAAAAATAGGCAAAGGATGATTTTCTTATTTGGCGTTAACAACATATTGATCAGTTAACACTGCTCCGATAGAGACTATCACAGACGATGTGTTCTGATGTTCAAACTCTATGGGAAATCAGTAAGGAAACACACCAACCCTCTTAGGCTCGACGGTGTGAGAAAAGTATATGGTTGGTACAGAGCTGTCCCCAGCCCCTAAAGCATCAAGGACACTTTCATCATCGTCGTCACCGTCATCATCTTCATCACTGTGGTAGGAATGTGAACTGTTCACGGAGCAGCTCAGGCAGCTGCTCACTGGACCACTGAGCAGCTCTGAACCAGCGGCGTCTCCGTGACAACAGCTGGGAGTCGTGTGTCTGCTCACATGTCCCTTCTCTGAGGGAGACACTGCGTCGTCTCCATTTGCAGTCACCGTATCGGGCTCACTAGCAGAGGAAAAGGGAAAAGTAGCAAAATGAGACACACACACACTGCGATCTTACCTCTTCTAATTTTCAGTTCCTTTTAATGGGTAAAAATGAAGATTTTGAATAGGACACTTTTTAAACTAGAATTCTAGGTTAATAAAAGTTTTCTGAAATAAACAGAAAGACGTTAGTTCCTATCCTGATTTTATACACTTTAGTTATTCAAACATGAATAGAATAGAGTTGGTGATTTTTTAAATCTCTGCAAGGAGGACACTGGCCATACAAAACTAGTACAATATAAATTAATACTACCAGAAGTTTGTAAGAAATTCATAGGAATCTATCTCTGTTTAAAGATCAGAGATTAAATCCATAGAACATTAACATTCTTATTTTCTATCTATTTCTACATTCAGAACATTCACAAGCATATATTGTAATTTTTAAAAATAAAGAATTTATACATGTGCACATAATTTATACACACATACATGCACATATTTCATGCTTCATTCTACAAAGGATTTGAGGACCCTATAAAAATAACAAAACCAAAAATGCAAGGAAACCAAAATACCATCACTCAAAAAAAGAGAAATCACGATCAAGAAAATCACAAAATTCAAAACTCATTTTTAAAACTGAAATAGTATGAGTTCATCAAAAAGACCTAAGAATTTGTAGGTTAAATAGTAGGAAAAAATATATCCTTTGCGCTTCATGCCCTATTTTACACAGAAACTAATTACTGCATATGGTACACCACTTAAGCAGAATAACACAGGAGCCTCTGCAGTGACAGATTTCACAGGGCACTCTGACAATTCCGAGTGCTAACGTGTACTTCAGCAGCAGCTTGGTGAAGTTTTCATATACGTAACACCTGACCAAGTTACAAACCACCTGCTCAGTAAACAGAAAAGTGCAGCGGAAAGCGAGGATAAACATGTGAGAGTAACAAACTGACACTGAGAGCAAATTTCCCTTCTTAACAAGTTATTCAAATATACAACATTATCCTGACTACAGTACAAAAATATTTCATTAAAAATCTAATATATAGCCCAGCCGGGCATGACTTAGCGGCTGAGCATCAAGCTAGGATCCAGGTGATCGGGGTTCAATTCCCATTCAGGGCATATGTCTGGGTTGCGGGCTCGATCCCCAGTCAGGGGCCTGAGGGAGGCAGCCGATCAATGACTCTCTCATCATTAATGTTTCTATCTCTCTCTCTCCCTCTCCCTTCCTCTCTCTAAAATCAATAAAGATATATTTAATAAAAAAATAAAAATAAAATGTAATATATAACATCCATAATTATTATAAGCCAACTACTGGTTTATCTTAGCACTTCATGGTATAAACTATGGCTGAAACACTGTAATTATAAAAATGGGGACACTGATGACAAGCACATCTGTACACATGTGCACGGCATGTACCTGAACACAGCCCTGCAAGAAATATTCTAGAGAATGGGCATTTCCTTTAGGTGCCAGGGCCGCGGATATGCCGACACTGTGTCTGCGCTCTCCTAGAAGAGCGTGCGATTGTGCCAACGAGGAAAAGGACAGGGAGGGCTGTGTGCGGGAGCAACTCTCCTGGAGGCATCACTGTCATCAGGTACCTAGAGAGTTCGCCCAGCAACTCCTCTTCTCGCTCCAGTTCTTCAAGCCGAGCCCACAGTTCCTGGTCAGCAAACAGATCCTTGGATTTTACATCATTTGCAAAATCTGCTCCAAAAATATCTGAAGTTTTGGGTTTGGAGTGAGGTTTATGAGCAATTCGGTGTTTTGCTATTTTTTGAAAAAGAAAGACAAAGCTGTTAATAGCCAACCTTGAAAAAGCACAAACCTAGACTTAGTGAGACTTCCTTATGAGATAAGGGAATGCTGAGACACAGGGGAAGCAACTGAAGCCAAATAGGAGAACTGCACAGAGACATGTCTTAGAATCCTACTGCTCAAGTGTGCTCTAGGGACCAGCAGCACTACATCCCTGGAGGGACAGAGCCCAGGGCCTCCCCTGACCTGCTGGCTCAGAATCAGTTTAGCAAGAGCCCAGAGGGCTCACACATGTTAAGGTTGGGAAGAGCTGCTGAGAGCTTCAGAAACACATAAGCAGAACCAGTCGCAATGAGCCCTCGTTATAACGTGGAATTCAGCACCAGCACGACCTGTCTCCATCCTTACTACAGAGAACACAGTTACTAAAGCACCACGGCCAAGCCTTGCGCAGGCACCTCCCCACCGAGGCACTGCTGAGCCCGAGTGCCCTTGGAGAATCCATGCAGGACTATCCCTAGAAAGTTCTACAATTTTACATATGAACATGTCTCCTTTTTAATTGCTTTATCTTATTTGTAATCCTCTGTGAGGGCAGGAGATAAGATAAAATCTGAACTCAAACCTATTTGCTTTTCATTTGAAAAAAATAGCTTTATTATAAAGCAACTTAAACCTTCTAATAAAATAAGGGGAAGAAGTCTAAAATGCAATTAAGATATAGTACTCACAGATGACCTCATCATATATTCAAATTTACAACTTACTTTTCTAAACTTGAAAATATCAAAATTATGTTTCACAGCCTATTCTAATTATTACTGATAAAACTGTACAGTATATAAACTTTCCTTGGTCACCAAAAACAGAAATCATAAGCTGTCTTTCTGTTCTTTAACACACCCCCTTATTCACCTTCTAAATGCACCGGGGCAAGGCCGTGGCAGCAGAGAAGGTGTGGCTTCTAAAATTACCACTATTTCAACCAATAAATTCTCTTCAGAGTTAATTGATAAAACAGAAACTTCATCAAAATAAATGTTAAAAGTAAGTTTTCTCAGTAGCAAAGTATAAACTATTCCTGTACAACTTTAAATGTTTCACTACTATACAAGCTTACAACTGACAGGGCACCACTGCCTTCACAGAAGCAAGCCCGAAGTCACGGCCTGTCCCTGGCGAGATGAAGCTGAGATGAACCTAGACAGCCTGTGTGGAATGCCACCACAAGCAGCAAGAAATGAATGGCTGGGCCGGCTGGGCGTGGCTTAGTGGTTGAGCATTGACCTAGGATCCGGGTGATCAGGGTTCGATTCCCAATCAGGGCACATGCCCGGGTTGCGGGCTCGATCCCCAGTAGGGGGTGTGCAGGAGGCAGCCCATCAATGACTCTCTCATCATTGATGTTTC